ACTTAGAGATCATTTGAACATGGACTAAAACTTAACATAAAGATAAGAATCTTCACAATTGGACTAAAAGAAACATGAAAAACAGAGGAAAATGGGAAGGGGTCAAAGATTTCAATTTACTTACATCCACAATCAATGTGTGTATCACTAGGACTCAAAGAATCAAAGTATGTATTCCGAAGGACAAAATTGTAACAAAAGACTTTTTAAAGGGTTAAAAAGTAAAGATGTCATGACATGAGTTTAGAACAAAGGCTGCATAGTGGAGTGGACTTGGGGGAGGGATTGTGTAACAATGAAAGAAGTTTTCTTTTACTTTTCAAAGAGAAGAGCAAACTAGGGGCAGGGAGAAAATGAATGAGTGGAAAATACAAAGACTCTGTAAATTTTCATTAAAAGTACCACTACTGCTACTATTACTACTACTACTAAAGTAAAGATGTCATTCTGAAGACTAAAGTGTGCCTGACCCGAGTCAGTATTTTCAGTCTCCTCCTATGCATGTGGAAGCTGGACACCAATCACATTTGGAACGCAGATAAACCACCGATATACTCAGATGATGGTGTTGGTGGGGAATACTGAAGATGCCATGGATTTGCAGAAGAAGGAACTATCGCTGGAATGCTATAGAATCAAGGACGGGAAGACTCTGTGTATCAGGAGGGACCCAACCTGGGAGACGTGGTAAGGTCAATGAAGAACGTGGTGACCCTCAACTAGATGCACTGACACTGTTAATGAGTTGGAACAAAGCCATCTAACAACAACACCTATTATCAGACAGAACCCTCCAGAAACGCTTTCCCGCTCCCTCTAGCATTGTTGCCTATTTTTTTTTATTAAATCTCTACTGATCTCTCTTATAATAACCTCCATTTTTAAGGTATGTGTTTGAAACACTTGAGTTTGCCTCATGTTGCTGTTTACTGCCGACAGGTCAGCTTCCAGTTCACTAGGACTCCACATACAACAGAATCAGGTCATCGGCATTGGAGAGTTTTCACTGCTGGCTACTTGGAAGGAGAGAATTAGGTCTTTCTTTCTAGTTCTTAGTCTGGAATCTTCCTGAAACCTCTTCAGCATCACAGTAAGTGGCTAGCCTCCATGGAATATGTCTTGTGGATTCGAACTACTGAACCCCAGGACTTCCAGTTAGCATGTAATGCTTGGAATGATGGAGGGACAGTGCAGGAGAGGAAGACTCCGGAGGAGAGGGATTGACACAGTCATTGGGATAATGAGGGTAGTGTGTTGGAGACGGTGAGACTGGCTCAGGATAGCGTGGGGTTCTGATCTATTGTATGTAGGGTCACGGTGAGTTGCAGGCAACTTGGCAGCGCATTAAAATAATATTCAATCTGTGATTAAACCTATTGTTTAAACCAGATCCAGCACATGGTGACCCTGTATGGTAGCTGTGTACGAGGGACACTGGCTGGGAATTGAATCCGAGTCTCCTGCACGGGAGGTGAGAATTCTTTCATTGTTTCACCACTCTCGACAACTTTGTCCCTATTTATCTATTACAGATAAAAATTCCGAGTACATCATGAGAGAAAAGACAACATGAAATAGCTGTTGTGTACCGTTGAGTCTTGACCGACCCACCGTTGACCCTCCAGTGGGTTTTCGGAGGCACTGAATCACGTGGGAGGAGACTGCTCATTCTTCTCCCATGGGGCAGCTGGTGGGTTCAAGCCATGTGCTTCTGTGTCAGCCCCGCAATTCTTTACCACTAAATCACCAGTGCTCCCCTGAAATAGATAGATCCCCAAGTATTTTGTATGGATCTCTGCAACATGATCTTGGTAAGCGTGACCAGCTTTCTTCTGTGATTTGGCTGATGGGACTTTTTTCACCCAGTTCCTTCCTGCTTAGAGATGGTTTTGAAACTAGCAATTCTGTGATACTTCAGGAGTCACTGTATGTGGGGGACTTCATGCCGCTGCTCTGGTGGGATGATGACACTCTCACGTGTTAACCGTCTTGTATGTGAGTCAAGGGTTCTTGATGGTCTCTTCGGTAATAGCATGTTGACATGGCTGCTAGTGAAGAGGCGAAGATTTCACAGCAGACACACGGAATTATCACTGGGTGATCTCAGCGTATTGCGCAAAGCTCAGTTTATGCTGCACCTCTTCCTTTGTTTCAACATCAATAACAAATCTCTTCCACCAATTTACTTACTCTTCCGTTGTTTGTTTCAATACATAGTCTCTTCATAGTTTCTGCAGGGCCTCGGGCGCAGCACTTAGAAACGTCAGCATCCATTAACTCTGAACATTCATCTTGATTTCCGGATTTCTCCCGAGGAGTCCAGACACTCAGAGGTGAGTCCAAGCGGCTTTGTGTGCGTGTGTATGTGTTTGTGTATGTGTGTAGAGGGGTTATTTCTCAAAATCAGACTTTTACAGCTCAGCACAGCCACCGCCTGCCAGTGGAGGCTTCTGGTATGCTGGGATGTTGACCAGCTTTCAACAGAGCATTAGACTAAGACAGACTCAGAAGAATGGCATGGGATCTCGTTGTAAATGTCAACCAATGAAAGCCTTATGTGTGACAATGACTCACTCTGCATATGGTCACAGGGATGGCGAAGGACCAGCAGTACCTCTTTTCCTTGTATGTAAGGTCTCCTGAGCCAGGTGATGAACAGACAGTAGACGATAGTACCAATCTTCTCCCTTCTTCTACTTGCTTGCAATCTTCTCAGAACTCTTCAAGAAACGTAGCAGAAGACTTGTCCCCTTGCTCATGATAAACAGAGCATAAGCGGCATTTTTGCCATTTGACATATCACAGTAGCACTTCTTCAGGAGAAACACACTTCCAGTATGTTTACTTCACTGCCAAGTGCCTTCTCAAAGCATCTTCTAATAACTTTAGTAATAAAAGTCAGCTTCCATTATACCAGGTTTCTTTTCAACCAGCCTCACAGGTTCTCTGAGGCCTGGAAAGGGGCGTGCCCAGCAAAGTCTATAGATTAGCATCTAGTACTGGACCCAAAACCATCAGGCAGAGGGCCCAGTCTCTGCAGTCACCAATGCAAAAGTATTTGCTCCAAGGAATAATGATAACTTTTAGTGACTTGGAATCACAAAGAAAACTGTCACCTAGTGACTGGTCCTCAAAGGTCCCTGTGCTGATTAGAGAGGCCACAAGACAGGAGACACAAGGCTCCACCCTGTTCTATAACTCTTAGCTCAACGGTTCAACTAGAAGTCAAACAGTGAAGGGCTCCTACCTCGAGGGCTGGCATTTCAAACTCACCCACAGGTGCCCTGAAAGAAAGGACTGGAATCCTGCTTCTCTAAGGTCACAGCCAGAGAGCAGTTTAGTTCTGCTCTGCAAACACGGGTCACCCTGAGTCAGAATCCATGCCTTGTAAACGGGTTGGTTTTTTTTTTTTTTTGGTTGTTGTTGTTTAGTTTGTTGTTGTTTATTTCAACACAAAGCAAACCCTGTAACACCTCTTAGTTTCCTCTTCTAATGTCCTGTAGTGATGTTATTCTAAAAATCGCACACAATAAAGTATGGGCAAGTGCTCTGGAATTTGTGAAATGCTATATAAAGAGAGGGCGATGCACTTAGTGGGTTTTATTGGAAAAACATTTCTGGAAAAGGGAAAGAAAAACATTACTCTGTTGGAATTTCTAGACCACTGTTTAGCAAATTTGATTGCTTCTACTCTAATACGCCCACTGTCTTCCCATTTTTGCAGAAATAAGGGTTTTGATACCTTCTCATCTTTTGAACTATTCCTGGGCTCTCTGCTATTACAGTGGACTGTGTGTGAGTATAATATATATATATATATATATATATACACACACACACACAGGGTGTGAAAGAGAATTTTGCTATAAATTTGTGATATAAGTAATTTATGATAGATGTTTCTGTGCCTTTTGCATGTATCTCCACACTCCAATTTTACTTATCTATGCAAGAAGCTGTATTTTCTCATTTTAATTACTAAAAAAAACCTGGTGTCAATTTACAAGAACTATATGATTGCTTCACATTAATAGAAACTAACTAGGTACCTTAAGCACAGCTTTAGTAAGTAAAGATATTTCATAGTAACTCAGTTAATCCAAAGAATTAAAAAATTAAAGTTTAACATTAAAAATATGTATATAGGAATATAGATATGTTTCTGTACACATACATATGTAATAGAACCTGATTATGATAGTGAGAGTAGTAGTCAAAATTCAATGAGAAAAAAATAATGATAAATGACACCTATCAAGAGAAATATTGGCCAGAACCTTCAATTCTACAAAATAACATCTGACAAAGCAGAAATGTATTTTACTAAGCAATTTTTTAAAAAGTCAATTACTCTCTTAGGTCCAAATGGCTCGATAATACTGATGTGCAAAGGGCATCTCTCAGTAGTAAGACATTCCCCTTGATTTTTTTCATATTTACAATATTATTTTGTTGAGTGAATTTTTATTTTCCATATGAACAGTAAGAGGGTAATTTCAGCCCAGCCTACAAAGACTTGTCAATTCATACACATACTTTAAGAATAATCCCCAGATAGCAGGTGGGAATTCACTTACATTATAAGGGTAATTACCAATTCTCTTATGTCTTATGTATTTAATGGTCACATGTTGCTGTTGTATGTGCCATTGGGTTGCCTGTGACTGACAGAATTCCTATGTACAATAGTTCATATCCAATGGATTAATTACGTGTATATGTTCTGATTTCCCTGTGCCCCCAAAGAAAAACAACAATGAATCACAACTGCCTATCATCTCCAGTGGACTCTGAACATGCATCTTTATCAACGGTTTCTGATGACATCACAACAGGCCTCTTTTGACTAAAAAAAGGTCAAAGAAGTCTTTATCAAATTATTCACTGTCCTCCAGTGACAACAAATGCTAAAGAAACACCCAAAGAGGAACAACTTCGCATTCTGTTTCCTCATTACCACTCTGGCTGCCAGGAAGCCAAGGGCCCTGTGAGGTCCTTACCTGCAATGCACAACCATGGGCCCTGCGTCTGGAGGATTGCAGGTTTTGACTCTTCGCAGGAAAGCTAGGAAGGGCGTCGGGTGCTCTGGAACGCCGTGATCTGGCCATGCCGTGAACTGGAACTGCCTCACTTCTCTTTTCTCGCTGGAACCATTCTGGGAAATAAAAACACAGGTTAAAATCCTGCTTTCCTCTCCTCAGATTTCAACAAAAAAAAATGTGCATCAGAAAAACTGTATGATGCCTAATTATCCACTGTCCTGATTGGGGCCCATAAATGCACCCTTATAGAAAGAGAGGAAAATGTGGGACAGAACTCAAATTCTCAGCAAGTCCAGACCTACTGGGCCAGTTGACACTGGGGGCTCCTCAAGATAATCACCCTAGATACTCTTCAAACTTGGAATTGAAACTGTCCCTGAAGGTCTACTTTGGTGAAATAGCTGACAGGAAAAGTACAGTACTCATAAATACAGTGCTCTATGGAAAAGTACCAAACATTGATAAGAATCGAAAAGCTCAGCAATTACTCAAATGCTAAGAAGATAAGGAGAAAGGGAAACTAGACCACTGGGAAGGGGAACAACCAGAAAACAATTAAAGAGAATGTGAGACACTGTGGAAAACTGAACTAATGTCACTGGGCAACTGGTGTTGAAATTGCCCATTGGGAACCCGCTTTGCTGTGCAAACTTTCACCATGCACAATGAAACCTTAATGTAAAGAATAATAAGTGGAAAGGGTAGCACTAAAAGGAGGTGTCTTAATTCCTCCCCATAGACTCACTTCTTTGAGAATACTCGCTTTGTGCAAATAAGAACCTTGAGCTTTTTGGAAATGACAAGGACCTGCTCCAGAAGATAAAATGCTTACGTGAGGAGCAGTCCATTTGTCAGGTTTAACTACCAGAAGCGCTCCTGTTACATGTTACGGGAGCACTAGTTCTTCCTCATCTATTCTTTATTTGCTGAAACTTTGCTTCAGAGCAAGAGTCTCATCTTTTCCTGATAAATCGGCCAGACTGGGAGAAAAATTGCTGAGCGATAATGGAAGAATTATTTCATTCTTCACCACTGCCAGAGGGATCAAGATTTAAGGAAAGGCCTGTGAGAGCTGATTTCTCAAAAGCAGCTTTCTTTAAATAATGGAGAAGGGGAAGAGAGGCAGCAAACAAAAAGCAAACCTTGTAAAGTGCAAATGTTCGAACGCAGTATGTGGCCAGCTCCACAGTATCGAGCAGCGTGACTTGGACCAGCCCGTGGGTTTCGGTGCCTCGGCTGGGCCAGTACTGGTCACACTTCACCTAGAAGAAACAAGCGGCACATTCAGAGGCACCTCCATTTCCCCTGGAGTTGAAGGAAAGCAGTCTTTCTGCATTTCATTTCTAGTTGATCTTTCTCTGGCTCACATTCTTGTTATCCCAATATATGTAAATGACTGCGCAGATGCCAACATAAACAACATTTTTCAAACTGGTAGGAATACTAAGTGGGAGCAGATTCAATTTTCCTGCGGGAGAAGAAAAAATAAGTTGCAGATCACAGCTGAGTAAAATCCGGAAAGAGGTATCTGAACCGTCAGAGTGCTCAGAGAACGGAGATCTGCTGTGGGATTCAGGACATCAAGCACTGCATTGGGAAGATTACGTTCTGGCATTTAAACTGGTTAGCAATCATCCACCAAGATTGGTAAGACATAAACTATTCCATTTTGAGTTACACGGATTTCCAAATATGCTGGTTTAAAGAAATGGAGAAATAATTTCTAAATCTATTGAAACAAAATAAATTATCCCCAGGACATCATTTTTTTTTTTTAAATACATAAATGGTGCTTTTACCCCAAATGAATTAAATCTGTAATGTCTAGGGAGAAAAGAGATAAGTGTTCTTTAAAAACAGTTACAAAAGGTCATATACTAGCAGTGTAAAGTTTAAATAATTTAAAACTCAATCATTTGTAAGGAACAATCTACAGTTTCTACAGGGTGTTGAACACAAGCCCATAAAAGGTATTCAACCCAATTAGCTGAACACGCACAGAGAATAATTTCAAGTCCAAAGTAAGCGTCAAATTTACTGAATGTGCCTGTTAGCGTTAGACGACTAATGAGAAAGGACAAACATAGCTCTGTATTTTTTAGTAAAGCCATAGATCAGAATATATCCACCCTTTCTATCTCAAATTAAATGGAAAAGGAGCACAATTTCTAACTGGCACCAACTGAAACATCTTTCTCTAAGTAAAACAAAACCCTTTCAGCCCGAATTTCTATCAGGCAACACGCTTTCTGCTTGAAACAGAAAGGCCCCAAAGTCACATCTTTGGATTTAAACAAAAGCAATAAGGCGTTATTATCCTAGACTCTAGAATTTTTTGGTCCAGTGAATAGAATTACTAGATAATTATTTGCTTTTATGCAGAATATAAATATGAGTAGCATTCTGTGAATAATACTGCAATTTTCTGTTTCACAGCTATTGCATCTGCTCTTTGGAGAACTCAAGGCTTTCTCTAACCAGATGCGGGGCCCTTCACTTAGCAGGCTTTATATATATAGAGTTGCTGTTGTTATGTGCCATGAGTCGCAGACGACTCATAGTGACCCTATGAAGGAGAGTCCTCAACACTTGGTGTCTCTCATCCTCTATCCAGGTTCATAGGGTTTCCAGAGGCAAGCTATTACGGAAGTGGATGCCACTCCTCCTTCCAATAGATAGATCTAGATCTAGATAGATACAGAGATATAGATATAGAGATAGAGACAGATATAGAGATATATACATACATACATATATACACGTACATATCTATACATACATCTATTTCTATCTCTATCTCTATCTCTATCTATCTAGATCTAGATCTAGATCTAGATCTGACATCATCAGTGAAGACCAGCAGGTAAACAGAGCCAGTGTTACTTAAATGGCAATGACTTTGTTCCTGTTACTATGGTGGTGGTCGTGGTTGTTTTAGGTACCTTTGAGTCAAGAATGACTCATAGTGACTCTACGAGCAACACATCTGAACCCTGCCCTATCCTGTGCCATCCTCACAATCTCTGACATACTCACACCCACTAATGCAGTCACTACGTGAATCCACCTGGTTGAGAGTCTTCCTTTACTTCACTGTGTCTCCACCTTCCAAGCATTAGGTTCCTTTTCAAGAAATAGCTGTTCCTAGCAATGGGTCCAAAGTATGCGAGATGAATCTTCACCACCCTTGCCTCTGAGAAGCACTGCTGGCTGTACCTCCTCTAGAACATGCCTGTTTGCTCTTTTAGCAGTCCATGGGATGTCCAGTACTCTTATCCAGAACCACAGCTCAAAGACATCAATTTTTCCCTCTGTCATCCTTATTCACTGTTCAGCTCTCAGATACACAGCAAGTGATCAAAAAGACACGGCCTGAATCAGGCGCACCTTAGTGCTCACAATGACATCATTGCTCCTCAATAATTTGTAGAGGTCCCTGACTACAGACTATGGTTACTAGTATTAGGTGTCATTAAGTGAGTTACAGTTTATGGGCACCTTACACTGGTGTAGATGGGAGAAAAGTACAAGAATTAGATCAAAGGCTCTGCTTTCAGCAGTGCCATAGATGACAAGTACACCTCTCACCACAAAGGCCCAAGATAACTGGAAGGCCCACAATGCAATATTCAAGAGAGTGCGCACAAGGTGCTCTTCAGAGCAAAGACAGAAGAGCAAATGCATTTCACGGTTTCAGTTGGGATGACACTATTTTCATATTAAAACCAACAAGTCATATCTGATGAGGACAAATACATCTATGGCGGGGACACACATGCACACACGCGCGCGCGCGCACACACACACACACGGTAATACAACAAAATAATCTTTAGGATCACATTTACTGCAATGAACAAAACTCAACGTATTTCAAAAGCTAAAGACTGGCTGTATTCAGATTTTGGTGAAATGAGATGGGGATAAAAGAAGTGCAAATGGCCTTTGAAAAAATTTTCTCTATTATCCCACGTAGACATCAACTTTGTCCCTAGATGGTATGAAACACTGGAAAGAGTCTAATTTAAGGAGTGCCTCTGCCACCCCACAAGTAGACAGTCTGAATCCACGAGATGCTCCACAGAGGAAGACGGACAATTTGCAGCCTCTGAGAGCCTGCTGCAGGCTCAGCTTGCCAATGTGAGGGTGATGATGGAGGGTGAATTTATCATGTTGTTGTTGTGTGCTGTCGAGTTACAACCAACTCAGAGCTGACCCTTCACTGTGTCAAAAGAAATTTGCAAACTGCAATTATTATTGCTTTGACTATAAACTGATCCTCTTCAGGGGAAACACACACACACACACACCACCTCACAGTACTGAGGTGCAAATGCAAAAATGTCTAGGTAAAGAAAAAAAAATATACATTTGTATTCGATTTAAGTAATCACTTTAATCTTCCTCTTCAAAATAAAAATATTTTAAAAGTAAATGTAAAAACAGGAAGCAACGTTTTAAAAGTTGTTATGTGCCATCGATTTGCTTGCAACTCATAGCGAGCCTATATACAAGAGCTCTAAATGCTGTTCTATCCTGTGCCAACCTTGCCATCTCAAATGCACTCATTCCCACCACTCCACTCACAGAATCGATCCATTTCATCGAGGGTCTTCCTCTTCTGCGCCACCTTTCCACTCTGCCAAACATGATGTCCCTCTCCAAGGACCAGTCCCTCCTTGTAACATGCCCAAAGTATGTCAGACTAAGCTTCAGAATCCTTGATTCCAGGGAGCATTCTGGCTTCACCCTCTCTAGGACAAACCTGTTTGTTCTCCTAGCAGTCCATGGTATATTCAACACTCTATCCAGCATCACAGCTCAAAGGCATCAATTCTCTTTCTATCATCCTTAGTCATTGTCCAGCTGTCCGATGCATAGCACATAACTGCGAAGACTATAGCCTGGATCAGGCACACCTTAGTCTTCAGCCTGACGTCATTGCTCTTCAGTACTCTGAAGAGGTCCCTCACAGGTGTCTTTCCCAATGCTATTCATCTCTTGATTAAAAGAAGACAACCCTATTTAGACATTGCCACTTTGTCAATAAACATTTCTCACAGGGAGTTGAGGAGAAATACTGTAACAGCATGGACAGAGTAACAGCCTGGACAGACAGACACACACATGTCACAACAGAAGCAGGAAGGCACGCCTCCTGGCCCTTCTCTCAGCACGCATGCGCACGTGCACCCTCCCCACCGTCCCCTCCCTCAACACCCCCGGCTCCTGACCACCTTCTCAGCACTTTGAAGATTCCACACAGGAGTCATCTACAAAGGTCTTAAATCTACTGACAAATTTCCCCCAAGTCTTTGGTGTTTAGTCACATGCTTTATAGGAAATTTCTGATTTTTACCACAAGACAGAAATTCTGAAGTAGAGTGAGTAGGAGGGATGCCGTGAGAGAATAACAGGGTTTTAGAGATCTATTTTTCCCAAATCAGCTAATGCAAATGAACCAACAAATGTTCTATTCTGACGACAGCCTTCCTTTCCCCCATGTTTCCCAGGAGAATCCTTCAGAGGCCGTTTTTAGAGAATTCCTGTGGGTGAGGCTTCATGCCTACAGCTCAATGTCAGAGGTAAGAAATACAGGTTGTTTCTCTGACTCTCAAGATGGTGGTGCAGTGTGTTCAGTGTTGTCTGCTATTGGAAAAGTTGACTTGAACCCACTAGCTGCTCTCTGGGAGAAAGATGGGCAGTCCCCTCCTATTAAGATTTATAGCCTCAGACACATGAACGAAGGTCACCATGTGTTAGCATTGACTTGACAACAGTGACTTCTCTCTGACTCTGTAAGAAATAGTCAGGGATGAAGGAATGGAACCATTGGATTCTGTCTTTTCCTATTTGGTTTTGAAGTGATCACTGCCGTTAAGTGCCATCTAGTTCAGTACGACTCATGATGACCCCGGGGACAGCAGTTCTGGACCCTGTCCTTTCCTGTGTCATTCTCATCATCTCACAGCCACCCTGTCAATACATCTGGTTGAGGGTCTTTCTCTCCACTGCTGTTCATCTATCTTTCCAAGGATGATGTTCCTTTCTAAGGCTCAGTCCCTCCTAACAACATGCCCAAAGTATGTAAGACGAAGCTTCATCACCCTTGACTCAAAGGTGTACCCTGGCTGCACTTTCTCTAAGACTTACTGTTTGTTCTTCTGGCAGTCCATGGGATGTTCAGTATTCTTCTCCAACACCACAACTCAAAGGCACAGGCTCTGCTGACTGATTCATGGAAGTTAGGCAGAATCCTAAG